CTCGTTGCACCATCTTTAGAGCCATCAACAGAGAAAGAGTCAGCTTCTAAAAGCGACCAAGAAGAGGTGACAGAAATGGAGGCTGAAGCTGCGATGAGTAAGGAAGACGACGACAAAAACTCAGACATTAGCCAGTCTCAGCCTAAAAGAAGAAAGGTGGAGAGTTCCTCTGAGACCAAAGAGTCAGGAAGGCCCCAAGGAGTGGGACGAGAAACAAAAACCACAACCCCCATTCCGAAAGATGAAGCTAACCCTCTGGAAGAAGAGAAAACTACTGAGGATCAGAAACCTGCTATCCAGAAAAGGTCACTTAGTCGCCAGAGTAGCCAGGAGTCTGCTTGCTCTTCTTCGCCATCGTCTGGGTGCTCTACCTCCACCCTCACCCGCCATGCTCACCACAAGAGGACCTACGAGAACAGACATCCTACCAAGAAGAGGCGAGTGGATCCTACATCAGAGGCAGGGAAGGAGGACAAGGAGGAACAAGGCGAGGAGGAGGAGGAGAAGATAGAAGAGGGTAGTGAGACGGACCTTCCCCCCACTGCCTCTCGAAGGAGGCGCTCCAGGTCTCCTTCCTCTTCCTCCTCCGACTCTGACAGCAGCAACAGCAGGAAGGAGCACCGGCTCACTCGCTCAGCAAAACGCAGGCTCCAAGATCAGGAGAAGGAAAAGTGCACCAAGGGCAGGAAGGGAGCCAAACCAGCACGCAGCTCGGACAGAAATGCGTCAAACAACACCAATGCGTCCACAGGAGGAGAGTCGGGCAGCGATACGTCTTCTGTTAGGATCACCAGGAAGTCTGTGGGATCACAGCCGCCACAGGACACTAAAACGCTGACCAACAGCACGCCCTCGCTACCTCCTGAGCCAGAGGTTCTAGGGAAAAGGTGCTCAGCACTCAATGCAGCAGCCAAGCTTTTAGCTATGAAAGGCAGGGTGGACACCCCAGGCCACACACCTCGGAAAGACTCCACCCCTAAAGCTCCTGCAACTTCCACCACTGCCCCTTCGGACAAAAACCAAAAGCCTAAAAGTAAAAGTGTGCCAGCCTCTCCTCAGAGCAACTCTGTGACCAATAACAAAAGCAGCAAACCTTCAACACCCAATCAGGCGAGCCGATCTACATCACGCTCCACCAGACAGTGCCCTGGCTCTCTGGTTCCACCCTTAGAGGTGGAGTACAAGAGGCCTAAACCAGAGGAGAAAGAGAGAGGGAGCAGGAAGTCCTCGAGGGGCAAGGAAGGCGAGGGAGAGACGCGATCGTCGTCAAGGGGCCACAGCGCCTGCAGCAGCATGAGCAGCGATGGCGAGGGTGACTGCGGCGGACGCAGCAGCAGAAGCCGCAGCAGCAGCAACAGCAGCCAGCGCACCCTCAGCTCCCAGAACACGGAGCACCGAGGTTCCCGCTCCCGTGCCACTTCCTCCGGCAGCGAGCGGGAGAGGGACCGCAGCCCTGAGCGGGCAAAGAGCCGTGACAAAAAGGAGAAACAACACCGAGAGAGTCGCAAGGAGAGCAGGAGGTCCCAGAAGCTCTCACAGGATGTGACCAGCAGCTCGGGAACCGAGGGGTCAACGCCAGACAGGGTGCTACGGAGTGTTGCTGCACTCGCTGCAGTGCAGGCCCGCTCACCGGCCGCAAGCACCCGCTCCTCCTCAAGCCAACAGCGTCACAATAAGACATGATTGGAGTGCCAAAGGGGAGAATTAAAAAAAACAAAAAAAAAACAGAAGCGAGGGTGTGGCGGAGCGTGATACGAGAGCATGACGTGATCTCCAAGGTTGCTGCTTTGTCTGCACTCTGAGGAAAAACAAGAGCAAACTGAGTGCTGCACAAGCCAGGGACCTCACCGCCTCTCGGGCCCTCTCCCTTTCTAGTCGGGGCGCGCCAGCTCTGCTTTTGAGCGCTGGGGGAAGGCTCAGGGACGCTGGACTGACGGTAAACAGGTGGCGCCGCTGTCGAGCGTCCAGATATGTGGACATGCCGTGGATAAAACTCACCACTTGGACTCGGAGGGGGTGGGGCGTGGGTGGGACAAAAGGTGCAAGTTGTTAGTTCACATAATGTACTGTAATCATTAAAAGACTGGAACACTCAGATGCTCTGTTAAGACAGGGTTAAACGGCGCCCTCTGCTGGGGTTACCCATGAAAAGTAATTTGTGTGACATTTAAGTCTCGAGTGAGCGGTTGTATTGTAAGTTGAAGGTTTTAGAAAGTTTGGTTTTGAGATTTTCTGTCCTGACTATTGTTTCTCTGTAGTCAGTTGATAAGTTATGCATATTTTATTATTTCTTCCAGGTTATTAGGAAGAGAACAGATCTGTCAATGTGATCTTTGCTGCACTATGCTGGAGCTCGTCTTTTTGTTCGACCCCTCCTCTCCCCCTCTTTGTTTATTTTAAAAAAAAATTTATTTTCTCCATGTCACTTTCTGTTCATCGGATTCGAAAATCCAGCCTTGCATTTCTCTTTTGCACATCTTTAATAACGTGGCCCTCGGCTTTTTTTCAGTACACCGTGGTGTTGTGATGCGTTTGTTCAGCAACTGAAGTTGATGAATTGGTTCCTGGTACCTGACGATGTTTGTCTCCAGTTTGGAAAATGTATTATCTTTAGTCACACCACAAAATCCAGCTTTCATCCCCCCAAAACGTCCTAAAGGCAGTTTAAAAAAAATTACTTGTCACAAAAGCCAAGTAAATGTTGAGAACTGAATTTAAGAGTGCCTCTGTGGCCAAATGGTTTTGAACCTCAGATTGCCTTGTGAAGCACCTGAAGCAGGGGTGTTAAATTTCTCTTATTCGGTTATTAAAAAAAACAAATTAATCCAAAAAATGATGTGGGGAAAAATCCACCCCTTACATGAAACAAGAAAGGAAAAACACCCCGAGCATCAGTGCTACTGAATTAATGTTTCATTTTTCACCTGAACTTTGTTTTTCTCTCACATCATCGATTTTGGTTCATGTTTAAAAAAAAAAGAAAAAAAAAAAGAAAAAAGTATACTTGGACAAAATAAAAAAAATATGTGAATAAAATTACTGGTACAGTTTGAGATGACTGTAAATTGTCGATATACTTTTGATTAAAGATGATATCTGGTGGGGGGGGGGGGGGGTAGTTTATGGTGATGGTCTTACTTTGATTTCTGTCTCTTTTTGTTGCATTCCTTTGATCCTTGTAATTCCACATTGTTTTACTTGAAAATTATGGCAATTACAGTTGAATAAAAAGACCAAAAATTAGTTGAAATTTTTTTTTTTTTTTTCCCCAAATGAAGATTTATTTCTGTGACCAACACAAGAAAGAGCTGGAGCTCTGCAACCGTCTGCTGAGCTTCACCTTCTATTAGTGCGACTCACCGAACTCCAACTCTTAATGGAGTATCTGACAAATATGGTTTGCTGCGTAGCAGAAGTCATCCAAGAGGTTATTAGTTTGTTTATAGATGTAATCTTAATGCCTTCGCTTCCAAATATCATGACTTCTAGCTCCAAAAATGCAGTTGGAGCTAGAAAAAACAGTTGAAGCCAACAGACCAACTTAGCTGAGGTTAAATCCTGAAGCATGAAAAACTGGCAGGTCTGAAACATCTTCTGTATTTGTAACAGAGAATCAACTGCTTTTATGAAGCGCTTCTGTTTTTATTGTAATACTTTTACTTGTTTTCCTAAATCTTGCCTCTGATATTTGCCCTCCATACTTTCACAGACTTAACACTAAGACCAATGAAAACTAAACTGAATTAAAACAAAGTCGAAATAGAATAAAAATTAACTAGAGAATAGAATTGCCCTCGGCTCACCTGATTCATGACCTCATCTGTAACATTTTTGCGGTGAGTTTATTGGCTCAATCACTAGTTTCAGCTCTTAAATATAAATCAGCTAAAGAGTTTCAGTGTCACAATTACTGACCTCATGTCTGGTTTCAAATCAGCTTTTTTCAATTATAAAAATGAAATGTTTGGTAAAATCCAAAATTGGTCTGTGTTAACCTGCATTTTTGTCCCTGTGGCTACAAAGGCAACAGCTGCTCTCTTAACAGAACAGGAAGGGAGGAGACCCTGACTTATTTTAATGAAAACTGCCCACTGACTTTTTTTCCTCCCACCAATCAGGATGGAAACACCCCACAGCTGAGTGTTCAGCAAGCTCGCCAACTTTAAAGCTTTCAGGGATGTTTTCCATTTTCCTGTGAGGTACTGTGTTCTTCATTATTTCAAACCACTGTACACCCTGTGCATTAAATGGATCACAAAAATGCAGGTTAGTCAGGTATTCCAGACTTTGTCCTCCCCAGCAACGTTTTCCAGTTCTTCCTGGGTATCCCGAGGTGCTTCCAGGCTCCTTTAGAGGGCCAGCTGATAGTTCAAGACTTGCTAATCTTAAAAAGATACAAGGCAGACTGAGGATAATGGAACATGGCGGTATTTTATTTTAAAAACAAATGTATAATAAAATAAATGAGCGATGCAAAATTTAAACAGCCATAACTTTACACAGTAGCAGTGTCACTCCCCTCCATCCTCTGCCAGCCTTTTTCACAGCAACTTTTCTGCTTCTGAACGAGGCGTCAGTGAGAAGCCGCCTCTCAGTTTTGGTTAATTTTTTCTTTTTTAAATGGGTTTCATTTGTCCCCTTGGTGTATTCTGACTCCAAAATGTAGCAAAAAAACTGCATAATGGGACAAAAGGGTGAGAAAAAAAACAGAACAAAACACGTTGAAGTCTAAAATACATCCATCCCTTTTTGTTAATGCACGACGTCACATTTGCAAAGGAGAAGGCACCATTTCTGAAGACGTGTGTGTTGTTTAAGCAGGCGCTTGCACAACGTTTTGAGTCAAAAATGCAAACTGGAAGGACACAGGAAAGGGGAAGCGTTGGACCTGTACTGTTGAGAGACCTTATGCAAATGTGAAGAGAAGTGAGGAGGAGGAAAGGGCGGAGGGTAGGGGTTATTTCACACACACATACACACAAAACAAAAAAATCTGTATTTACACTTGTTACATGTACGCAGTATGAAAAAAAAACTTTGAAGTTTTAAAAATCATCTGCATAAATTTTTTATCACCAGCAACATCGGTTATGTACAATTATATTAGTCTATTTCCTGTATCCGACTATAAAAGGCCTACATTATAAAATTGTTCTTTAGGTCTCCAATTCATCCAGAAGCATCAACGTTACAACACAGTTTTCCTGAGTACAGTATGACGAGTGCCAGTGTTTGATCAATACTGCTCTGTGCCCCACTCAAGGTCACTTAATTCCTCTTTTTTTCTATTTTTTTATTTTTTTTTTAACACAGGAGGGGAAGGATCGACTGGTGTAACAGTCCACAGTGAGTCCCGCTGTTTGTTTTTGCAGAACAGAAACTGACAAAACGTGCGGCGCCGGCATCGAGCGTGCAGCACAGATTGTGAGATTAAACGAGAGAGCACATCTCTTCCATACAACAGAAAAAGTGGAGAGCAGGACCGTTAGGCGGACAGGAGGGTTAGAGGAATAAAAAAAAACAAACTGAAATCCACTGACTCCGCTCAGCTGTACATCCTGTGAGCTGATGTATACGCATGAATGTGTGGATTTGGGGGTATCCATAATGTGCTTCTGCTAACTTGCACCACAGGGTGTTGCTAGGATGAGAAGGTGGTGACCAAGGCGATGATGATGATGAGGAGAAGGATGGCCAAACAGATTGCAATCCAGAGTTTTTTCTGCAGCAGGAGATAAGCACACAGGTTAGTCATTCCAGGAAAGAAAAATCAATCCCCCCACCCCATCATGGTTTCAGAGTGGGGCCAATTTATAGTCTCCGACACACAGAAACAAGTACAGCGGCCCCTTTTTCTGTGGGATAGATCGCTGGTTATAATAAGTTACAGCATATGAGAGGTCTCATTTTAACCCAACATGTAATACCAGGCTTGTTTTCTAGCTAACAAAGGCGTGGTTTGTAAAGTTAAACTTGTTTTTTGTTTCCTTTTCTTTCTTTTGTGCATGAGCAACACACATCGTCTTTTTCCAATCACGTCATAAAACCAGAGCTTTCCCAACTGATCATCATGAGCCTGTGAAGCTTAGCTGGTGCCATAAAGTCTGACCAGATGGGGATTTAATTCAAAGAGTCAACACCCAAAGACAAGCTATTGTGTTTTCAGGGCCTGTAACTTGCACAACTTTTGAATGGCTTCAATAAACAAGCTAAAGTTGCTGTATATAAAAATCAGCCGATCGTGATCGGATCAGGTGGGAGATGCTCACTGATTTTATATGGGATGATGTGTTCAAGATTAAAGCAGTTTTCCTGCAAAGCGCTCAACCTCAAGCCAAGATTTAGTCACTTCTATTTAATTTTATTTACATAGCGCCAAATCACATCGGCAGTTTCCTTAAAGTGCTTTTCACTTTAAAAAAAATTTTCAAAAAAAGAAATCAGTATTTAATAATAAAACCATCCCCTTTGAGCAAGCACTTTGCGACAGTGGGAATAAAATTTCCTTTTTAAAAGGAAGAACCCCGCAGCAGAACCAGGCTCAGGGAGGGGTGGCCATCTGCCCCGGTGGGACAAATCTGGATCTTGTTTATCCAGAGGGTCTCATTTGTGAGCTTAAAGTTGACCTGAAGCTGTTTGATCAGTGCGATGTGTCATGTAAACACTAAAGTCGCTCCATTTCATAACCATAAGCAACATTCAGGAGTGTTAAAGCATCCCAGCATTCGAAATACAGCTAGAAGATGTGCCTGGTATCAAAAAGGAGACGTTCACATGCTGTTGCTTGTTTCGACCAGACACCTTTCCCACATGGTTATATGACCATTCAAAGTTACCGAAAAAGCACTTTAAGTTTTGTCCAATGAATTATAAGGGGAAAAAAAGGGTCCTGGTGCTTGGCTCTCATCTCTTATTGTGTAGTTAAGAGCTATGAAGGCTTAAAAATGCACACATGAGACCCTAATGTGCAAAATTACAAACTGAGAGCAAAAACTGATCAGGAAAGTGTTTGCTCAGGTTATATATTAAAGGCTTTTTTCCCCATACATCCTCACTTCACAGGAGTCGCCCCCTGCTGGCCAAGAAAGTAGCACTTCACTTATCACACAGTCTAGGATTTTTAATCTTTTTAACGAGAGTCTGATAGAACCAGACAGATGGGATTACCACAATATTTGAGAAGCTTAATTTATTTGCTGTTCTCCTCCATCAGAGCAGTTTCCAGTGTCAATATTTACAAACTCTCCGACTCTGGAGCGTGCTGCCGTTAAGCACACAGAGGCCGCTCCTCTGCACGTTTAGCACAGTGATCGAGTTTTAGTGGCGATCCAAACAGCATTTCTCTGCAAGGCAGCATTTTCCAAAGCAGAATAATGAGGAAACTCGTTTCAGGAAGTTTCACCTTGCGTCACTCATGTGAATACAGGGCAGAGCTATTCTCTCATAACAGCACGGAGGAGGAAGAAAAACAAAGAGGATCGGAGCCCTCTCCTCGTTTTCCCTGTAAAGTACCCATGAAACCAAAAGAGGATAGGACTCTCTGCAGCACAAAGTGTCCGTTTATTGTTATGCATCTCTGCTGTTTCTGATTTAGTTTTTAATTTAGGAGATTTTAGGACAACTGCTTTCACTAGGAAAGCTTTATAGAAAAAGGCACTAAGAGAATATTAGGAAAACAGCAAGTCGTGTTTCCATCTCTTCATCAACACATTCTGGTTTTCCAAATTTAATGATAACCATTAAATTAATTACTGTTTAATAACAAGCTTAAGGACGTATTTTCATAGATGCCGTCTGTGTAACTCTGACCTCTAAATTGGAAAATAAGTATTTCTCATCCTTTTTTTTTTTTTCAAATGTATTAACATCAGGTAATGTCTGCATGGAAATAACCAACAATCATGCTTGATGACAGTTGGTTAGGCCTCTCTACACTCTCATTTCTGTCAGTGTGAAGCTGCTGCGTTCTGTTCACAGATGACAACAGCTTCACGCCGATGATGGCCTCTGATCACGGGTCCCACTAAAGGACTTCAGGTCATCATGCCACCCTCACTGAGTCTGATTCTGACATGTGTACATGTAGGGCTCTGACCAGCTCCTGCTCTCTCCTCCACACTGTGGAGACCCTGGAGGAGCTGAAAGAGATCTCATGCTACTAGTAGCGAAACAAAACTAGAGGAGGGATAAGGAGAGAGCACGCACTGTTGCTTTCATTTGCACCAAAGCAGCTGAAATCATAAACGTTTCTGCTTCCTAACTGGACAGACTGATCCTCCTGAAGTTTAATCTTCGTGTTTTTATTTTAGTGAAAAGTGAGAACCTGCAGAAACGAGCACCTTAATGTGAATGTGGGAAAACAGTCTCTTGGCTAAGAGGCATCGATTTGCATCCTTGTTTAGATTGTGTGTGTAATCGAGCTGCGAGAAAACTTGGCTTCGTCGTTGCTGTGAGTGTAATCAAAGTAAAAGTGACGCTTAGATCGACTGATTAAAAAACTGTCCTTTTCATGATGTCATTCGGGTTTCTCTGTGCGTACCTTGCGTGATCTATGCTGATACGTGACCGCTTTCTCCAGTTCGCCCTTTGCTTTCTCCACGTAGTCTGAAGACTTGTTGATATTGTTCTCAATCCTGTCCACCATCTCGCCCTGCGGTGAACAAAAACATCACAATCAAACGCCATCCGCAGCCCGAACCAGCTCCACCGACTTCATTGGCGCTGCGTTACCTGAGCCTCCACCTCCATGGCGAGGTACTGGAACATGTCGTGCAGCTCTCTGATGCTGCTCTCCAGCTTCAGGATCTCATCGTGCCGGGACTCGATCTCATTCAGAGCCTGCCTCGTAGCTTTAGTATCACTCAGGATCTGGACACCATATTTATTAGGGAAATCGTGGACAGCAGAACCAGGCACAACTTTTCAGGGGGTCATCTATGAACAGCAGCACAAAACCTGCAGGATTCTTCGCATGAGCTACTTGAGTTAGACTACAGCACAGCTAAGGGCTGCACAGGATATTCTTACCATATCTGTAGTCCTGTTTGAGCAGTTAGAGAGGTGTGTGAAAGTTACTAAACCTGCAGCCACAGAACACCTGCATCTGCTGCAGGGAAGTCTGTGTTGTGGTTTCTCATGTTGAAACACACTTTCCTTTTTGTTAACTTCGCACGTACTCACATTTTGGGTGAAAACATCCGTCTGCCCGCTCTCGAGCATCGCATCCAGCTGCTCATCTGTCACGTTGCTGCCAGCTGAAGACAGGAGAAAATCGAATCAGAGCGTTTAGAGGAACGCGCAGAACGGTGAAGATATTGTTCTGTCCTCGTCTACAGCTGATTACAGCGCTCCCATTAGCATTATTCACACTCTACTAGAGTAGCTTTGCATGATTAGCAGTTCAAAATAATCTCTTTATCTTAAACTTGAAGGCGTTTCAGCCATTCCCCTTTTAGCCAACCCTCTTCTGACTGACGGGTGGAGCAGGGTGGGTGAGCTTCGAGATAAGAGGTCCCATTTAGGTCACTGTAATATCCATACTAGAGATGGCACGATACCACTTTTTTATGTCCGATACCGATATCATAAATTTGGATATCTGCCGATACCGATATGAATCCGATATAGTGTTTTTT